TTGAATCTAAAATTCTCCGACAGACTCCAGCTAATGGTCAAACAACAAATAAAAAACATAAACAATTATTATACAAACAATGTTCCCTCTGTGATTACAGATCTGTTTTGGCCAAGGCACTTAAAAAACATATGAAGTCACAGCATCCAGAAATAAAATCATATCAGTGCCATCATTGTAATTTTCAAACTGCCATTCATAGGAATTTAAAAAGGCATATTATGTCCCACCATACTGGGGAGAAGCCTCATAAATGTCCTTATTGTAATTATAAGTCAGTACAAGCAGGTAATTTAAAGGCTCATATTATGACACATCATACAAATGAGAAGCCTCATCAGTGTTCTTTTTGTGAATATTCTACTGTACACAGTGGCAATTTAAAGAGGCATGTAATGACCAACCATACTGGAGAGAAGCCACACCAGTGTTCTCATTGTGATTACAAAGCGGTGCAATCTAGTAAAATAAAACAACATATAATGACCAAGCACACTGGAGAGAAGCCACACCACTGTTCACAGTGTGGATATCGATCTGTTACAGCTGTTGGTTTAAGGAGGCATGTATTGACCAACCATTGTGATGAGGTGCCTTTTCAATGTTCTCAGTGTGATTACAGATCTATAACTGCTTCTGCTTTAAACAGGCACGTAATGACTGTCCATACTGGCGAGAGGCCTTTCCATTGTCCCCTTTGCGATTATAAAGCAGTACAGTCAAGTTATTTAAAAGAACATATTAAATCTCGTCACACAGATAAGAAAGCTCACCAGTGCCCCTATTGTGATTATTCCAATTCAAGCCTTAAGAGTTTGAAGTCTCATATAATGGCTAACCATACGGGAGAAAAACCTCATCAGTGTCCCTATTGTGAGTATAAAGCTGTACAAGCAGGAACCTTAAAGACGCATATTATGGCACATCATACTAATGAGAAGCCATTTCAGTGTCCTTATTGTGAATTTAAAACAGTATTAGGTAGCAGATTAAAGATACACATAATGGGCAATCATACTGGAGAAAAGCCTCATCAGTGTTACGAATGTGATTATAGATCTGTTACTTCTAATGCTTTGAAAAGGCATGTTATGGCAAACCATACTGGTGAAAAGCCACATGAATGTCCATATTGCAACTACAAAGCTGTTCGATCCAGCTCTTTAAAAGAACATATTATGGCCCATCATACTAATGAGAAGCCATATCAATGTCCTCATTGCAACTATGGAACCGTTAGAAGCAGTTCTTTAAGAATACATATGATGTCGAACCATCCTTGAAAGAAGTGAAGTCACTGTCATGATTTTTAAGTTATGCATTTATTATAAATGCTTCAAAGCAACGATTTATCATCTCGTGGAAGAGAAAAAAATAATGTAATGTTTTTAAAATGATTGCCATTAGTAATTTAATATCATATAAATGGTATTTTATTCTATTCCAGCGAGAGCACATCATTAAAAGCAGAAAAATAGGTAATACAAGTTATACTTGCTTTAAAAGATGAGAATCCTCATCAATATGTTTGCTTTGGCAAAAGAAAGTTTTATCTGATAAGAGGTCCGTAATATTGGTTTTCTATACGAGATACATATATATATATCTCGGTTGGCTGATCTAAAAGGAATCATTTTCAAGTTTAGAATCAAAGGTTTTTTTTTATGTTTGAGTATCACTTAATGCTTCAGTAAACTGTAAAAGTTCTTATGGGTATAAGAATGATGATCTGTGATAAGATGCTCTTCGGCAACTGAAAAAAGCTGTGAAGTTGAAATAAAATGTAAATTAAAATACTATTGTGTATTAATTTGAGAATAAGGCTCATTAGTTTGTTGTTGAGTCAAGTTTTAATTTTTGCAATTCTGTTTTCATGTTGTCTACTTCAAAGTTTATTCATAACAGTTTGTTTAAACAAAAAGTTGAAAGATTAAAGATTGATCATATATTTTACTATTTTTTCTGACCATATGTGTAATATTAGGTTTATGAAAAGCTAATATATATTATATGTTGATTTTTTTTTTTAAGTCAAGTTAATTTATCAATTATGCATATTTAAAAAATATTATTTAACCATTTACTAAAAATTAAAAACATATTTATATATAAGTTGTGAATTGAATTAGATTTTATTATGTTATATTGAATAAAATAAAAAGTTTATTATTTATGTAATTGGATCTTTTATGTCATTTCAAAAATATTAAACTTTAGTCAACTAAAGTTCAAAATCAACTTAAGTTAACTGTAAGAACTTAGACTAAGCCACATTCGTTGTGACAACTAAAACAGAGAAAGAAGGATAAAAGTAGATGTTATAACAGTTACCTAATAAATGTCCTTAGCCTTGAAGGATAGATGTTGGCTGTAATTAAATTAACAAGTACAAATATTATATAGGAAAAAATAAAATCCCATGATTTACTCAGCATACATGGATTTTAATGGATGCTCAGAAATCATATCTTTGATTAATGTATAAGGTACATTATGTGATTTACTGCATATAAATGATTTGTATGAATTCCTACGATTTTATCTACCATATGTCAAGTGATAACTGTAGTAGATGATAACTAAAGAAACCATATTTTCGTGAAATTATTTTTAAAAAATCCAGTCTGCCCACTCACATAGTAGATATCTAATATCCTTTTTTCTCTTTTTTTAATAAAACATTTACCTATTTTTATTCATTATAGCTAATTGCCGAGGTATGATGAGAACTCCAATTTAGGCCCATCATCAGAGGCCAAAGCTTTCATAAAATGCATTTATAATATGTATATATAAAATGCATAAAAAGCTTTTATAATGTAATGAGATGTTATAATCTGTCAGCAGTATAACGTTACTACTTAGGGAGACCCACAATTATAGTTTAAGATGCAAAAAACCAAATTGATCATGCGCTGATAAACAAGAAACATTAGATCTCTGTACAAGATATAAGAAGTTATCCAGGAGCATAAATTATATTCCTATCTTTCTTTAATAAAAATCAAACTATGACAAAGATTGAAGCGAGAAAAATAAATGAATTTCCTCTGCCTAGCAAAAACTGATCAAGTCACTCTAGACTGTTATTCTGCTGAAAACTAAAAGAAAACAAAATTATTGGGACAAAAAAACAGAACTCCTCAAACTTCTTAAAGAGAGCTATTGAGTGGACAAACAAAGTCTTAAAATGTACCAATTGACCTTCTGGAGATATGAGCAATATGGAGTTTCCAGGATAAGTTTTGATCAATTGTAATTACTAAGTTTTTTATAGAGAAGGAGATTGGTCGGTCATTAATAATCAAGGAAGAAAGGGTGGAAATGGATCTAAGGAGGGAGTTGGAACCTATAAAAATGGCCTGAGTTTTCGTTGCATTTAACTTTAATTTATTCAAGCTTGCCCAGGCACTGATCCTATGTAGGTCTTTCTGAATATTAGTAAATGCTTCTAATATATCAGTGGAAGGAAAGGAAAGGATAGAAAAATTTGGAAGTCATCAGCATATAGATGGTATTAGCAATGGTGGAATGAACTAGGAAGGTCAATGATATAAGAATTAAAAAGGAGAGGGGAAATACTTAATGATTATATATTTAATAAAAGATAGGCCAATAATTCTTTAATTGGCAAATTGCCGATTAATTTAATTTGAGCTGTATATATATATATATATATATATATATATATATATATAATATATATATATATATATATATATATATATATATATATATATATATATATATATAATTAGTGATTTCACATACAGATGTGGACTGATAAGAGTTGATTTACTGATGGTTCATGTCTTCTGGTTGCAGTGTCTTTTTTGGTAATACGCAATAGAACTAGTTGTTTTCCGCCCCCACCCGTCCGATCTTCTGAAGTAGCGAACTCTACAGGAAAGTTTAATAAGTTGACCTTCTTTCTACGAAAATTGCCGGTTCCTATGTAATAATAATAAACGATATAACTGAGAAAGTTTACCTCTGAAGTTGGTTGTCGTCGCTGTCGTTTCCGCTTCATCTCCATGATATTAACGAATACACTATACAATTTTGTTATGATATGGTTTCTATTTAGTATTTATACATATAAACCTTTTTACTATACTATACTATATATAGCCGTGCGAATACTCCGCAGAAACCTTATAAGTGTATCTGATTTTAATACATTATAAGGAATTAGTTTCATGGAAGGGGATATATAAATCTATAGGTTGAGACCTAGTCTTGAGAGAGTGGATAGAGGAACGTAGGGTACGGAGTTTCAGGATGTAGAGAGGTTTTTGAGGACTTGAAAAAGGAAAACACGAATATATAATTCAAGAAATAGACCGCAATAGTGTTTAGTCGAATTAATTAATATATATTTCTCTATTATTTAAAAGCGTTTTTAGTGACCGTGTTATATTTCATTTTACATATACAAAGCTGAACGAACTGTAACGAATACACCACATTTCTTATTCCCAGAATTGATTCTCCCTTATTATAATTATCAATAGCCAATAAGAATAATTATGTTTATATAATAATATTTTTTTTTTAGCTTTATTTATTCACCCACATCTGTCATAAGTAAGCAATGACAATGATAATATAAATTAGCAATAAGAGACAATGTGTAACATAGATTTTTAAAGAAATTTTAATTTTTAAAGGAATTTGTCACAACTGTTTTCGTTTTACTTATTTTATGTTGATAAAAAATAATACAGTCTGTACTACAGAATACATGTAAATTACGGTTATACAATTTGAGCAACGATTAATACAATTAAATGGATAGGTGTTTAATTTATTAAATCGAGCATTGATTTGTCTTTTGGGGACTAGGGTTCATAAAAAAATAAAATTATTCACAGACTTTTCATAACCGTTCTTATAAACTTTTGATCGCATGAAAAAAAAAACAGGTAATAAATACACTAATACATTTATTTCTAATCAATTACAAGAGCATTAATTGACATTTGGATCGATTTTCAGGAAATAGGCTTAACAGAACATGGATTATAAAAAATAAGAATAAAAGGTAAATTATAAATTAATTTATTATCAGTTAGATATAGGAACTTCATAAAATGTGATGAATTATTTTAAGATCTATTCTTCTTTCTCACAAATGCTGTAGCCATTGTTTTTCAGTCAACTTTCAATGTATTGGACTTCAAGAACTAGAATTTGTTTTATTCAATATTTCAATGAGTTTTACAGTAGTTTAATGAGTTCAAGTTTAAACTCATAAATTATTCTACATTTTCAAAAAAATATTTGCCTTTATAGCTCAAGTAATTAGTAATTATTTATACATTTACCTTTATTGGTAGAAATAAATAATTTCCTGTATTTTCTACTGTGTTATGTTTAAGCCGCTGTTGCCGAAATAATTACCTGAATTTAACTCCTTGTATATTTCATAATGATAAGTACTTATAACATTCAATTTTTTTTTCATCTTAACTTATTTAAAAATATTTTTAATGTACGAGATGAAACTTCAATGATCAGTGTACGTATTTGCTATCACACAATGATGCCGCACATTTTCTGTAAAGAAATAATTAATTTAATTTTAATAATAATGTTTTTCGCTTACTTATTACACTTTATTTCTTTGGTTATTACTTTACGTGATTCCTACAACAAAATGTATTGATAAAGCAGCAATCTAACATTACTGGACAGCAGACTGTATAACTACATCTTCTTGAAATATTTGGATTAAAAGTTTTTTTGTTTACCACTGGAAGAAATTCGGATTCCTACTTTATATGATTCCTTTATTAATAAAAAATAGAGAGTATGTGTACCCTACCACCGTGCATTCCAGAACAAACTCCCCAACATGACAACACTACAAACAGAATTGGTACTATTCTCATTTCATTAACTTAACATATACCTAGCTAGCTATATGATACGTTCGAGCAGCTATTAATAGTAAAAAGTTAATCCATAAAGTTAAGAAAGTAATCCTCTTTTTGATCATTCGGTTTGATCTAGCGGTTGATAAAATTCCGATTTCATAACATCTTGTAAATAAATATACTGCCTTAAATTGCACTAGAGAAAATATCAATTTGTAGTTAAGTTGATAATCCTATTTTATTGCTATTCCGTTTGGAATTCACTCTGGCTTATTTACTGTAGTGCAGGAACTGTAAGATAATGTTTATTTTATTATTCTTCTTTTTCTTAATCGTTTCATCTTCTACCGCTGAGCGGTGTGAGGAGCATTCTTGTAGAGTCTAATCCACAACTCTCGATCCTGAGCCAACTCCCGCCTACTCCTCCAATCAATATCTCTTCTGCCAGAAGCCTCCTTGACACAGACCCCTAAGGTCTTCCTGGACCCGTCGTTTTGGTCTCCTTGCTCACTTCTCTCTTGTTCAAGAATTCTTTCTTGATTTCGTTGAAGCACCTTCCTGCAGACTTCATTCTTTCCTTTATTTCTCTGTCGATCCATCCATGTTCATTGGTGTGGGCACCGAGATATTTAAAATGTTTTCACTTGTCCCAATGGAACTCCACTTAAGTGAACTATTCTGTCTCCCTCCTCTTCCTTCTTTTCTGCCAATCCTCATAGTTTTGGTTTTTTTCCACTTCTATCTGCATATTTATCCTATTTAATCCTTTCTCAATAATGCGGAGGTTAATTTGCATGTTTCGTCCATTGCTTCCGAAAACAACCAAATTGTTTGCATAAGCGAACAGAGAGAAAAATACAGGTTGTAGATTTATGTATCCCATTTGATATGATTTAATATTTTGTTTTGCTATTTTTATTGCACTAGTGCACTAGTGTAAATAGCAGAGGACTTAGACTGCACCCTTGCCTAATACCTTGATTAGTTGTGAACTCTTCTGATATATTATTACATGTTCCCACAACATTTACTTTCACTTACCTTCATTTTTTTTGCGTGTGATAAATGCCAGCTGAGGACTGCGCGTATATCATTATTTTTTACTTTGTTTTTAGCCCAAACTGCCTTATTTTTTTCTTTCATTTCTTAATTCCGTTCATCTGTCCATTTCTTTCCTTCTACTCCAATGATCTTCAAATTATTCAATTTTTCCCTGAATTTATCCCTATTTAGGTACAAAAAAGCAAACAATAAAAAAGAAACACGTGTTTTAATTCGCTTCCACATATCAATTCATTCGTACACAGTGTAGAAAAAGAAAAAAATGTGCAACATTTTTGCCAGAGACTGAACCAAACACGATTTTTTAAAGAAAAATCAGACAACCTGGTGGAGTTAGGGTGGGAGAAGAGAAGGCCATCAACATCATAATCATCGGCAACACCGAGTGAGTCTACGAAATTTCAAAATAATTCACATCCCAATTTGCGCCTGAAGCAATGTAGAGAGGGCATCTAGTTGGCAGTCCGTAAGACCCAAATTGTATTTTTTTATTGTGTGTGTCTGTGTGTTTATGATAGTTATTCTGTTTTGAATGTTTTTGCTTTATATTGTGTTATAGGCAAAAAACCATTGTTGTTTTTTTATCGTTTTGTTTTCTGACACATTTAATATAACTTTTAAATTGATTGCATTAATTTGGTGTAAAGAAACTTATTGTTTTTACATATTACATTATATTAATACGTATATTAGTAGTGGCAAAAATTGGCTGTAGCCCATAATTGAAATGAAATGAAACGAAAAAATAATTTTATTCTGTAACAGAATTGCGATGGAACTGCCAAAATTACATAAACTGTGAAATGATTCCCGATGAGCAAAATAAATGTTGTTTTTTTTCGTATTTCTGTCCTCTAAAAAGTGGAAAAGCTTTTTAGTGGACATTAACAAAGGTTTTATAATAATTCTGTGAAAACTGAAATTATCGGTTAGCCAAATTCAGACCAAAGTTATATAAATTCAGAAAAAGTTATAAAGAAAAGAAAATTGTTTGGGGAGCTAACTCACCACGTGTACACCTTTCGGTTTTAAACGGATCTAAACGTTTCTAAGTCAGTTTTGAAGCGTATATTTTGAAAGATCATTAAATTTCTGACAAAAAAAAAATCATCTGAATCGGACCAGTTTTAGCTATTATAGTATATATTGTTTTAATGGTAGTTCACTTACCTGTTTACATTGTTTCAACTAAGGAATCGTACCCTAATGATTTCACTGATCGGTTTTTAGGAAAATGAATCTATTTCAATTGTTTTTTTCTATTGGACGCATTTAAAGTAGTATTTTTTTTAAATATATAGGAAAGTCTTGTAAGTGGACTCAATAGATTTTTAACATTGGGAACAATATATAAATTGTCTTTACTCTACATCTCTTTCATTCCATATAATCAGAGGGATGGAGGAGAGTTATCACTATCTTTCTTCATTCTTAATTTTATTGATTTAGTTGGACTTTACAATGTTTATGTCAATAAAACATCTAATTGTAATTATTTTGTAGCATTTTTCTAAGATTTAAAGTAGCATATTAATGAATAGCAATAAGCTGTTAGTTAACAGTAAGACTCTTGCGCAAGGCCAAGACCAAGACCAAGACCAAGACCGCCTCGGTCTCGTCTTGGTCTTGCGTTTGGGCAACAATTTTTATATTTCATTTTACATATACAAAGCTGGAAGAACCGTAACGAATACACCACATTTCTTATTCCCAGAATTAATTCTCCCTTATTATGATTATCAATAGCCAATAAGAATAATTATGTTTATATAATAATATAAATTAGCAATAACAGATAATGTGTAACATAGATTTTTAAAGAAATTAAAAATTTGTCACAACTGTTTTCGTTTTATTTATTTTATGTTGGTAAAAAATAATACATTCTGGACTACAGAATACATGTAAATTACGGTTATACAATTTGAGCAACGATTAATACAATTAAATGGATAGGTGTATAATTTATAAAATCGAGCATTGTTCCGTCGTTTGGTGACTAGGGTTAATAAAAACGTCTGCCAAGTAAGGTCAGTATAGCTTCCTCACCGTTTCCGTTGTATATTACAAGGTATACAATTTTTCGTAAGAGAATAAAATCTCTGAGAGAAGCAGAATCGGAATAGCCGATTACAGTTACCCTTCAACATTCAACAACAGAGGGTCGTATTTGAAGATTCCATACTTGATTATGCTTGATAAAAAAAATGCATACTGAACATGAATTTCAATACTGTTAGTGCAAAAGGTCTTACGTAAAAATGTATTTATTGTTTTAGAAGAGTGCATAAAAACTCATTATTTCTTTTTGCTTTATTAGAATAATTTCATATTTTATTGTCATCTGCTATTTTCCATAGTAGCAGACTACTTATATCAGTTGCAGACTACAAAATGTCACCATTAATACACAGAATTAAAGTTGAAAATTTTTACATTCGAACTTTTGTTCTGATAATAGTGATATAAACTACCGGATCCAGATTTAATTTTGAGGGAGGGGCTTCAGCCCGAAAGATTTTATATATATATAACGATAATTACTTTTTAAAAAATCCACTACAAATTATTTCACTATGGTATATTATTTCCAAACAATTATACATGTAAGTAACATTAAATTCCTAGTTATAAAAGGTGATTCCAATTATTGGACTAAACTTTTTTTTAATCATTAAAAATATGCTAAAAAATAGCATTACTTCAGTAACACATTCAAAAATCAAAACAAAAGATAAACCTTTTTGCAATAACGCATCTAAAAAAAAACTAGAGACCATATCTTTGCTATTAATTGTCCGATTTTAACGATTTTTTTTTTTTTTTTAGGAAATTCCGCAAACTTTTAAAAAACCAATTCAAACAGCTTTGAAACATCTTATCACAATATTCACAAAAATGTGTATACTACTTGAGGAATTTAATTTTACCATCCCTCGTAACTTATACGTAAAGTATGTTATATAGATAAATTTAGAGGGCGTAGAGAAAATGACTTTAGCGAAGTTTCATTAAAATCGGTACATTCGTTTAGGCGCTACAGTCTATAGCAACGCAGGTTTTTCGGCCGCCATGTTGAAACAAGAAGGCGAATAGTAATGTCGTTGAAGGAGTATCATCCTCTGGTGACTTCTGGTTTTATATCCAAATTCGAAAAAAATCGGTCCTGAAAAATTGCGCGGACGGGACCGTAATGGACCGTATGGACCGTATGGGACCATCTAGGCACCAATCAGCCTAATCCCTGAAAATTTCATGAAGATAGGATGAATGGTACTATGTGATATGCCCGTCACATCGATTTGACTACAGACAGACAGACAGACGGACAAACAGACACCGAACCAAATTTGATTCTTGATGTCTGAAACGTAAAACGCGAGTGAAAATTTTCGATTCTGAGCAAAAAAATTTTTTTAATCTCTCGCACGAACACAATGGTTCCCTTCGGTAGTGAGGAAGCAAAAATAAAATTATTCACAGACTTTTCATAACCGTTCTTATAAGTTTTTGATCGGATGAAAAAAAAAACAGGTAATAAATACACTAATACATTTATTTCTAATCAATTACAAGAGCATTAATTGACATTTGGATCGATTTTCAGGGAATAGGCTTTACAGAACATGGATTATAAATAATATGAATAAAAGGTAAATTATAAATTAATTTATTATCAGTTAGATATAGGAACTTCATAAAATGTGACGAATTATTTTAAGATCTATTCTTCTTTCTCAAAAATGCTGTAGCCATTGTTTTTCAGCCAACTTTCAATGTATTGGACTTCAACAAGTAGAATTTGTTTAAAAAATAATTACTACTATAGCTCAAGTAATTAGTAATAATATAGAATCATTAAAACAATTACCTTTATTGGTAGAAATAAATAATTACCTAATCCACCTGTGATAAGACCCAAATTGTATTTTTTTTTTGTGTATGTGTGTGTATGATAGTTATTCTGTTTTGAGTGTTTTAGGCTTTATTTATATTGTGTTATAGGCAAAAAAGCAGTTGTTTTTATCGTTTTGTTTTATGGCACATTTAATATAACTTTTAAATTACATTAATTTGATGTAAAGAAACATATTGTTTTTACATATTACATTATATTAGTAGTGGCAAAAATTGGCTATAGCCCATAATTGAAATGATAAGAAACGAAAAAATAATTTTATTCTGGGACTACAGTCCCCTAAGAATAATTTATGAGTCTTAGTCTGGCTTATAATAATACAAAATGATGCCTCATTAACTGTTGATTATTTATTATTGCAATTGTGCAGTTGATAGAATTAAACAGTGAACATACGCAAGTAAATTAGTCTGAAGTACAGTATAGATGTAAATTACGGTTATACAATTTGTAAATAACATGTTAAATGTTAAATGTAAATAATTTGTTTTGGCGGAAATTGGCGAATAGCCTTCCGCTTTTATATGGGGGGAACTAGGTTATTTACACTCGTGAATATTGAAACAAATCCCCGGCACTGGATATAGACTTTTTTGAGGGTGTTTAACTGTTGTTGGGAAATTCGGGAATCTAATACCTTTTGTGACACTGAGTGACAAGAACAATAAGAATATATATATATGTGTATATATATATATATATATATATATATATATATATATATATATATATATAATGTGAGATTTAGTAAATACACTTTGAATGAATTAACTTACCTTGTTTATTCTTCTTCAATTGTGAGGCCTATGGGACAACTAAATAAATAAATGACTTTTCACTCCTGTCTAAAAAAATAATTTATTTTACAACTGTAATAAGTAAATCTATTATAGTCCTATAACTTGATCTTCTTAATCTTCAATGCAGTGCCTCTCTCTTCTAACAACCTCGTTTCTTCCTTTCCAGGCCTAGCGTCCTCTCGCCTCCGTGTCCCAGGCTCAAGTCCCTTCTCTCCTCTTCTCTGGCGTCATTCTTCAGCTGCTACTACCTGACCGGACCTTTTTCCTTCTTCATCGATTGTTTATCGATATGAGACTTTTCAAAGAACAATTTGTCCACTGCAGAATTGAGTACAATTCACAGTGCAACCTCACATTCCTATACATTATATATTCCTTCTCATTCCCTCACCGAATGTCACATAAAGGAATTAATAATGGGGAATGTCTACTACAAATTTGAGCGACTAGTAGTACAATTAAATAGAGTTGTATAATTTGTAAAATCGGGCATTGGTCTCCCGTATTGTGACTAGGGTTCATAAAAAAATTATTCACAAAATTTTCATAACCGTTCTTATAAACTTTTGTTCGCATGAAAAAAAAACAAGGTAATAAATACACTAATATATTTATTTCTAATCAATTACAAGAGCATTAATTGACATTTGGATCGATTTTCAGGGAATAGGCTTAACAGAACATGGATTATAAAAAATAAGAATAAAAGGTAAATTATAAATTAATTTATTATCAGTTAGATATAGGAACTTCATAAAATGTGACGAGTTATTTAAAAACTATTCTTCTTTTTCACAAATACTGTAGCCATTGTTTTTCAGTCAACTTCCAATGTATTGGACTTCAACAAGTAGAATTTGTTTAAAAAATAATTACCACTATAGCTAAAGTAATTAGTAATTATTTAGAATTATTAAAAACAATTAACTTTATTGGTAGAAATAAATAATTACCTCTCTGGTACCGGCATTTTCTACTGTGTTATCTTTAAGCCGATGTTGCCGAAATAATTACTTGAATTAAACTCCTTGTATATTTCATAATGATAAGTACATTCACATTTTTTTTTTTTCATCTTAACTTATTTAAAAATATTTGTAATGTATTTGTAATGAGATGAAACTTCAATGATCAGTGTACGTAATTGCTATCACACAATGATGCCTCACATTTTCTGTAAAGAAATAATTAATTGAATTTTAATAATAATGTTTTTCGCTTACTTATTACACTTTTTTTTTTTTGGTTATTACTTTACGTGATTCCGACAGCAAAATGTATTGAAATAACAGCATTCTAATATTATTGGACAGCAGACTGTATAGCTACATCTTCTTGAAATATTTGGATTAAAAGTTTTCTTGTTTACCACTGGAAGAAATTCGGATTCCTACTTTATATGATTCATTTATTAATAAAAAAAAGAGAGTATGTGTACCCTACCACCGTGCATTCCAGAACAAACTCCCCAACATGACAACACTACAAACAAAATTGGTACTATTCTCATTTCATTAACTTAACATATACCTAGTTAACTTAACGTTCGAGCAGCTATTAATAGTAAAAAGTTAATCCATAAAGTTAAGAAATAATCCTCTTTTTGAATATTCGTTTTGATCTAGCGGTAGATAAAATTCCGATTTTATAACATCTTGTAAATAAATATACTGCCTCAATTTGTATTAGAGGAAACATCAATTTGTAATTGTTTTTTTTTAAATTTATTTATTTAGAAATATAACAGTCTGTCACGTGGACAATAATTACAGTGATGTATGATATAACACATTCATATATATACAGAAAATTAATTTGTAGTCAAGTTGATCAATCCCAGCAAGTCAACTCATATTAGCTTTTCCCTGAAAAAGATCTCGTGTCCTGCTCTGACAATAAACCAGTTCCCTCAAAAACACATGTACGGTATCTTGGACTATATTTGGACAAAAAACTCACCTGGAACATTCACACTAAATTAAAAAAACAAGAACTGACCAGACGATACAAACAACTGTCACATCTTTTGGACTACAGATCTCCACTCAACTTACTAAACAAGCGACTAATCTACACCACTATACTAAGACCTATTTGGACATACGGAGCAGAAATTTTGGGTTCCGCAAAACACAAGCTCATAAACACAATTCAAACCACACAATCCAAAATACTTCGTAAAATCGTCAATGCTCCTTGGTTTATTTCAAATCACACCATATACACAGACATGAACATACCAAAAGTAAAATCCTACATACACAAGTACACAATATTTCATTCTTCTACTCTCAATCATCCAAATCCACTCGTTCTATTTCTGTCTTCCTCCCTGTTACCCGGTGAGCCTCAAAAACTACTAAAAAGGCAGTGGCCTAGAGATCTTCTGCTGAAAAGTTAAAAATATCAAGAATTCAAGAAGATAGAATAAATTCCAACACATTTTCTTGACGCATTACAACGCAGAGGCAAATTTAATGAAAAATAAATAAATATACAGTCTACTTCAAATTCAAACTATTGGTTGTCCGGAATTTTTTTTATTGAATATTATTACATCCTGCCAAATTGAAGGGCATAAATATTAAGGCTGCATTAATCATTCACACAATATGTACATCAAATAATAACTAAGATAGAGATAATAAAGAAAAAGAATTTAGAAAAATTAAATGAGTAAATTAATATGTCTATGTACAAAAAATGAAATAATAGATAGAAGCTAAATGAAATTAAAATAAATAAAACACATTCACATCTATATACAATATTTAAATTCGCCCAGAGGAATCTGAGACATGCTTTGTCCCTGAAATGTGGAAGCCAAAGCAGAACTTCAGGAGATCCCAGTGCTTCTCTCTCAGTCGCGTCTCTGGTATTGGAAAACAGTGGAAACTGATGGAGGGTACTACAGCAACAGACGCTCAGGACCTGAGTAGAGAATCTGGCCATTGCCGGAATATAAATATTTACAGAAGGTCTCGGGGCCATTGCCGTTTTAACCTCCGGGGTGAATTGTAAGGATGGAGAAATCAAGGATATCAGGATTACGGTTAGGATTAGTGGGCCAGTAGGTAGTTGATTTCCGAGAAACGAGGTTGAAATTTTGGAAATCGAGTGCGGACAGCAATGTTCGACCGCGAGAATTCGTGACTCTTGAATCCTATTGCTGATGCTTGGCGTTTAAGTCTGCACCCAGGATGAAATGGTATACTAAGGAATTGAGGTGGGAACTAAATTGGATATTAGAGATGGATTGGTTGGGAGGGCAATTCGCTGATTCAGGGGTTGGGAGGTTTTGGGAAAGAAGGTTTTGATTATGATCGCAGTGGATTGTAGGAAATCATGAGTAGCTAATGGGAGTAGGTGATGAGAGAGGGATTGGTGTACAATGACTGCAGTACCGGCATATGCTCTACCGTCAGGATGGTCAGTACGATATGTTGAGTACTGAGATATTATTCAAATTTGTTTTTTGGTCATTCGAGTTTCCATAATAATGGCTACATCGACGTTCTTGTCTAGTAGTAAAGCTGTTAGCTCGTCAATGTGGTTTCTAACACCATTCGCATTCCTAAGGAGTATGGATAAGGATTTGATGTGGTTCATTTCAGGATTTTCCAAAGGAAGGGTGAGGTGAGACACTAGATTTGTATGGAGACATATCTGTGGGGTAACAAGAGATTTGAATTCGGTAAGGAAAGATGCCAAAAAACTGTAAGATTAGTGGCTTGTGATGGAGGAGGAATATGAGGAATGTGATGTTGATGAGATTGTTGAGGGTTTTGTACATTAGGAGGGATAGGGTGTTGAAATTGGGATTGGGGTTCCTGTTGCGGCAAGCGTCACATTTATCAGTGTCACATTGACAAGTGTCACATTTATACTCTACCTCGTAGTAACTAAGAAAAAGAAACTTTAGAGTCTACTATTTTAGCAAGTTCTCTTCTGGGTTTAGAAATTTCTTCTGAATTTCGGGGCTTAACAAATTTTTTTTGATGTTTTTGTAGACCTGGTAGCTCTTGTAGTTGGTAGGACGCCCTTCCAGACATAAAACACATACTGCGGGACTAGTTTTTGGTTTCTTGAATTCACCAGTCTTGTGTGACTCTCCGCATTTCACCCATCCCGGTTTGTGGCGAAAGTGTATTTTGGTGTGGTCATATGCCTGGCAATTGTGGCACTAGACGATTTCTCTTTTATTGTATAGTTTTTTAACCTTAGTACTTGTATAATATAATCTTTTGATTTCATATATTTTGTCCGGAAAATAATGCAGGATTTGAGTTTTCATTAAAATACCCCTCTATATACCAAACTGTTTACAGGGTTATTCATTTGTTAGAATGTCAATACTTCTTAATCCTCTTCCAAACGATAATGTTTGTTCAACTAAATTATTTCGCTGTTTAGAAATAATTCAGTCTTTACTAAGATGTCCATGAGTGATTTTCGTATAATTTTATTTTACTTGTTTAAACATCGATTAAGTCTGGAGCGAGAGCAGTATTAATGAGTGCACTGTTCAACGGTGGTTCAAAAAACTTCCTCTCTTTATGATGATGTTTTGTAGGCTTTGGTGGAAGAAAACCCCAGAACAACTGTTCGAGAACATGAAGGGGAACTTAACCTTAGTAAATCCACCGTCGATTACCACCTCAAGGCGATTGGAAAGGTAAAAAAAAACTTGAAAGTGGTGTTAGACACACAAATTAAACGACCGCCGAAAAAACAGCGTTATGAAGTCTGTGCTGTACTCCTATGCCGAAATAAAAACAACCCTTTTTTCTCCAGAATTGTTACTTGAAAATTGGATACTTTACGATAACAGTAGTTCTGGACAAACGAGAAGCAGCAGAATATTTTCTAAAGGCCCCAACTCATCGAAAAAAGGTGACGATTACTGTTTCATGGGCTTCATTTGGTTTAATACATTACACCATCTTAAATCCTGGAGAAACTATCAATGCCGAGGCGTATTGTAACCAAATTAATGTAATGCATCAGAAATTTGTAATAATAAAGCCATCTTTGGTCAATCGGAAAGGGCCCATTTTGTTGCACGACAACACCATCCTTTCTCACGTGTGACGTCACCAAAAGTGTTGGAGCTTGGATATGAAACTCAGCCACATCCGCCCTATTCTCCGGACCTTTCTCCTACGGATTATCATTTTTTTAGACACTAGGACCATTATTTACGTGACAAAAAATTTAATGGACAAAAGGGATTTGGTAAATGTGTTTTGGGAGTTTATCAATTCTAAAGATGAGAAATTACATTCCGAGGGACTGAAAAAGTTTTCAATATGTTAGCAGAAATGTATTGATCGTGGAGACTATTTTGGTTAAATAAAACAGGTGTAAATCTTTCTTTTTTTCTCTTCAAACCATAATACTGCATTATTTACGGGACAGCCCAATAAAACCAGCTCGAAATACACTTATGAGATCAATGGGTAATATATGGCTCTTACCAAATTACCATGATATTTTTTTGATTGCCATAGTTGTATAATATAATTGAGGGGTACTTCCGAGCGCCCCGAAGGTCGTTGTATTGTATTAACCAAGCTGTGCCGCGTTATGTTCGGTCCTCAAAATAGTTTTTTTTTAATTTCGCAAATAGTATGGGCCCCTGAGGGCGACATGTGTGTACGGATAAAAAGTGACAGTGGGAGTAAATTACTATAACATATATACACCTAGAAGCAGGTAATCTAACATTCTGTCCTCATTTCTTTATTTACGAAAATTCTCGGAAATGGGACATTTTCAATGGAGAAATCGGATGTTAATACACTTTAAGGTAATATGTCGTAACCTAATCTCTGTCGCCATTGCTTTTTATCATAACAGTCTTCCTCCCGCAGTCCCCTTGCAGCTATAACCTTAGGTAAACCTTCCAATCATCTCTTTTCTGAGCGACCTCTTTTCTTTCTTTCCAATTACTATTGGAAGGTATTGGTGAGATATTCTTTTATGCCTTCGGTCGTCCATCATTCTCTTTATATGCCCAAACCAACTCAGCTTTTTTTTCTCAAGGGAGTACAGTACGTTTAGGAGTTCGTCCACTTTATCTCTAATAATATTATTTGGAATATGTTGTAGTCTTGATATTCTACAGCTACGTCTTCAAAAATCCATCTCCAATGATAACAATTTTCTTGCTGAGTTGGTTAAAATCGTCCAGGTTTCTGAGGTATATAAAACAGTGTTTATAATTAACGAACTGTATAGTCTCTTTTTCGTATGACCTCTTTATTCTATAAAACAGAATTTCCTTAATAGAAGTCCGCATGATCTTTCTACCTTTGATGACATTTCCATCAATATCTTTCTTGCTGTTGAACCCCTTTGCAAGCCACCTAAATATTTAAATTGCTCCATTCGCCAACATTTAATGAGTTACCACTATTTTCCTTAATTTTCCCCCACTTTGACTATTGCTGTTTGGTATATGGGGGTGTCTCTGGGGATCTCGAGGCGAAACTAAAACGTTTCATAAATTGCTTTGCACGATTCATTTTCGGAATACCAAGGGATGCCTCTGTTTCCCATTTTTATGGAGAGTTGAAGTGGCTTTATCCTTCCTACCATCGTAAATATTTCCTGGCATCCTTCCTCTTTCAAGTCTTCCAATCCCACCGCCCCTCATACGTCTCTGAGCTCCTTCAATAAAAATCCTCTGTTCGTCCCGCAATACATGATTCCGGTCTTTTTTTTTTTTTTTTTTTGTCATCCCCTTCCTCGCCCCTAACCCGCTATACGGGGGTTTTCCCGGGCCAGAGAGTGTGGGCGGGGATTTTAAAAACTCCTCTAGGCACCGGGACGCGAACTCGTGACTATTTTTGTATCAAAGTCTTATGTATCAGGTTGCCCATTCGGCCACCCCGCCCACACTCGATCCCGGTCTTCTGATTTATACACAAAGGCTCACCGAACCGCTGTTTTCGACAGATTTTTCATTATCCGATCCTCATCCTTTTGGAACTCCATCTCTTCTCACATTCGTCAATCCAATACCCTTCCTACCTTTAAATCTCGCCTGTATCCGCTTTCTTCACGATTTAATAAAATTGACAACGGCGCCATCGCAAGACAAAACCAAAGGGGGCTGAGGCAGTCTCCCTGGTATATACCTCCTGAAATGGTAATGTATTCAGGTGATTGTTTATCTCCCATTCTCAGTCTAGTTTTCCAGTTGTTCATCAGTGTCCTCAGAAGTTCTTTAATATAAGGATGGATTTTATATAAATCCAGAACTTTTAAAAGCCAACTATGAGGAACTGAGTCAAATGATTTTTTGTAATCAATCACGGCTATTGGCAAATTATTCATGGTCGTTTGGCCTGCAATGAACGAATCGATGAGCAAAAGTTCCTAACACCGTTGTGCTCGAGTGCAATCAGATTATTGGTTTGCAGGTGAAATTAAATTTTACTTGTGAGAATGGATGTTAAAATCTTATATACACCGTTGAGGCAAGTAATTGGCCGAAAGTGTTGGGGGTCCAATCGATCTCCTTCTTTTTTGGAAATCAGCATATTAACGCCCTCACAAAACCTCATATTATTATTATTATTGAATGACATATGCTCACCTTTTGTTTTGCTGACTTCCAGGCCTCCTTCCTTTTATCCTCTCAACAGCTTTCTCATCGTAAAGGAAGCATCTTCTTCGTCATTTACAATATTGACCTGGTCATCGCCAAATTGTAAATCGTACAGGCATTTAATAAAAAGACATATTATAAAACTGCATGACCATGTTACTTACTTTGAAGATAATTGTAAAATTTAGAAGACGACTGAATCACGTCAACTTTACAAAATTCTAAAATTATCTATTTATCTGATTATAAACCAACAAACACGAAATGAAGTTGACTCATTTCATAATAATAAATGCACTAAATCATGAACTAAGGATCAAACAGACGAATTTCCAGAATCGATTAACAAAGTGGAATGGAAATCACAGGGCCCTACCTAATGACGAACAGATTTGGCTTCTGTATACAATGCCATAGATAAGACGCCTATTTATTGAAGATTGTTCTCTAATCCTACACACTGTGCTACCATGATTTCGTTTCTGTTTCTCTTAAGCGTGTGCTGCGTTCTTGCAGAACAAGGGTTACAACCTGCAGGAAGCTTTAGATTCGGAGGTAATTTTACACTTCTTAGAACAATCTAATCTAATATAATTGTAAATAATTTTTTTTAGGTTTGATTATTGATAAATATTACAATCTGTCTCAATAATGGACATTTATAATAGAGTTCTAAGATCACATTCACACCATATTTACAAATTAAAAAAAAAAGAAAAAAAAGCTAATTTCAAATAAATAAAGCTATAAAAGAACAAAATAAAATATCATAGTGAAGGAAGAAAATATAAATAATAGTAATAATAGAATGAAAATAAATGAATAAAATAGAATTAAAATTAACTTAAAAAAAAAGTAATGAAAATAAATATCTTAGATGTAGGCATACCTATTACACTATTTACAGTCGGCCATGGGAACTCCGAACCATACTTATCCCCCACATGTGGAGAGAAGCAAGGCTTCAGGAGATCCCTGCGCTTCTTCCTCAACCATTTCACTCATTTGTAAATAATAAAATATATTATTGTAAACAGTATAGGAAGAATTAATAAAAGGTTTTCATATCGTCGGTACCTTGTTAAAGTAACGAATTTGAAAAATAATATTTTCAATTCGTTCGTTTACCATAAGAGCCTGGTTTCACAGAGCGACCTAGCATTCGAGCTGGCCTCTTCAGTTACTGTAAGAAGCTACTTGGACTGTGTGATTGCACCATACGAGTAAATGTCATGTGCGATTAGGTCAGTAACTCGCATCCCAGTTACTACAAAGTTTTTGTTTTGACTCATTACTCGCCATCCCCTACGCCGAAAGGGGTTAATCGTCTGGTACCAGGACGTCAACTTACCTGGTATTGCGAAATGACAGTTGCTCATACTCCTTGGACCACGCCAATGCATTTTTTTCAATTTATTGAAAGTGTTTTAGTTTTCTTGTGGATAATCGTGCGGATAGACCATTCTCATCACTGCTTTATATTCTCGGGAATCTTTTTTATATATTTCTTTAAAGATTGTATTCGTTGCTTCTTTCCTTTGCATCCGATTCCTGGACCAAAGTCGTTCTGTTTTCCAGCTCTCACAGCTCTAGTTATTTCAGCACAAAGTATTTTTTTTACTTTCCTATCTATACTAGGTAAGGAAAGTATTGCAATCGGGTCAAATTTCCGCCGGATCTATACGTTTCAGAGCCTCCTGAGTCCAAAAAACATATTTTTAGCCATTGGTCTGTCTGTCTGTCTGTGCCAAGATTTTCTCGGAAACTACCGAACCGATTTTGTTGCTTCTTTTTTTATTTTGTTGGGTTTTGACAACTGATGCCTGTGACAGAAATTCGGTGTTCCATGCGCAATAGCTTGCGCACAATAAATGAAAAACCTGTTTTACTATAGATTGTAGCGCAAAAACAGCTCTAACGATTTTGATGAAACTTTCCTATAATGTTCTAATAATTGTTCTATCAATTTTCTTATATAGACTAAATTCCCTTAAAAATTCAGAAAAAAAAGTTATAAAGAAAAGAAAAATGCTATGGGGCCTAACTCCCTAAGTATATATTATGCGCTAAAATTTATAATAAAACTTTGAAGTTAATTAAATTACCAACAAAATAAAAAAAAATCATCTTAATCGAACAAGTATTAGCGATGATACAGCTTATTCTATTTTTTACACATTTTTTTAACTTATTACTTTTCTACCTATACTAGCTAAGGAAAGTATTACAATCGGGTCAAATTTCCGACATGTGGATTTCGACGGATCTATACGTTTCAGAGCCCCCTGAGTCCGAAAAACACATTTTTAGCCATTGGTCTGTCTGTCTGTCTGTGCCAAGATTTTCTGGGAAACTACTGAACCGATTTAGTTGCTTCTTTTTTTATTTTGATGAATATGCCGTTTAGCCTGTCGTTTGAAAGGTAATGAAATTCTCTACAAAGCCATATAAAAATTGTTCATTTTAGACAACTATTAACGAAGTTACAGCTAGTCAATTTCCAATGTAAGATCACGGTTTCATATCCTCGTGTAGGAAAAATGTGAATGAGAGAATAAAGATGACTAAGTGAAAGAAAGAAAATCTGTTGCTCGGATCACACAATCTTCACTATTTCCTCTACTTTTAACAGAAAATTTTGTTTGACAGTACTAAGCTGTGACAAAAAGTTTTTGATCAGCAATATTAGGAAGTATTGAAATTTTTACACTGATCTACCTTAAGCAGGTTTACATTGCTTTAATTTATCAAATAAATCGTACTCAAATCTTAAGTTTGATCAATTTTCAGGAAAATGTATCTGGTTCAATTCTTTTTCGTTTCTTCATGAACATATGTAAAGATATAAAAACTTTTCTGAACTTGGTAGGAAAGTCGTGTGAGTGAACACACCAGATATTTTTTGAAATCGCTTTTATTACAGTATGAACTGTGATCAGACGTGTACTTTGCAGCAACATTGCACAAGAATACAAAACAAAATTTGCTAAGAACTGATGCGTGTGGATAGGCGCAGTAGCTTTGTAATTCCTTGCCTGTAAGCTCGCACTTGTGTGACCGGAGGATGCGAGTCGTGCTACAGTCATGCGAGTACACAGGTGCAATATCTGTCCTCTGTCAGGTCAGAAGCTTGCACTGTGTAACCAGTCCCTATGCCCACCATGTGGTCAAAATGTCGAATCTAAATAGTGACCGGAATCAGAAATGTAACTTTTACGAATTTATAGCTTCGTTAGATAGATATGGTGTAGTAACAAATAATCTTAATCGAAAATTTATATTGGGCAATTCACATTCGTTACTTCAACATGGCGTCGGCGATATTTTCTCTCAACTCTTAGTTATTTATTAAGCTCTTTATTTATTATTAAATTACTGAAAATAACAAGCATATAACTAACTAACTCAGTCGGCGCTATGATCCAAGGATTGACCTCCTCAACAATTTTGCTCTTCTTCCTTCTGTCACCCACAGAAGACGTATGTCACCCTCAACATCTTCCAACCACCGCATCCAGAGTCTAACCCTCCCTATTTTACAATTTGAGCGTGCCTCTATTATCTTCCTCGGGAGTCTTTCTTGATTCATTCGAAGTACCATTCTATCCTTACCTTGTTGACACACGAAACCAAATTTGAAGAGAAGATTGGTTGGGGTTTTCAGTAAAAAAAAAGTAAAGATAAATAAATTGTACCGACGTTTCAGCTCAATGTTCAGACCTTCTTCAGGACTATGGAAAAAAACAGATAACAATGGCTATGATAAACTATTACAAATTTTTTTATTTTTTTTTTATGAAATTTACAACTGTATTATATAGAAAATACAATAAGTAAATGTGACATGTACAACATGAAGAGAAACTACCCATTGGTAGAACTCAAATTAAAGTTCTATATTAGAAGATCCAGAGGCCATCTTCTTTTCAGAAGCCTCGGAGGGTTATCAGGGATCGAGGAGGAAGCAAGGTTTGAAACGAGAGGATTCGAATGGTTCTGCAGTTTGTTATGGAAGGATAGGTATCTGGATTGGGCCAAATCGGAAACATATGGAACATTAAGGTCTTTATGGATGATTTTATTTGTGACAAAGTAAGGAGCGTTGAGGATTTTACGAAGGATTTTGGATTGTAAGGATTGGATACGAGAGGAATTCGATGGTTTAGTGGAGCCCCAAAGCTCAATTCCGTAAGTCCAAATAGGTCTTATTATTGTCATATATATGAGTCGTTTGTAATTGATTGAAAGCTTATAGCGTTTGTCTAGTAAGTGCTGCAGTAGTCGAAAACGTCGGGCGGTTTCTAGTCGTTTCAGTCTGGTATGGGGGTTCCAAGTGAGTCGTTTGTCAAGGTGGAGTCCTAAGTATCGGATTTGTTCGACAGGGATAAGTGGGCTCTATTAACATTAAAAATAAAACTACTATATGTAGATGATAGGTATAGTCTAAAAACATGTAGGTAGAATAAATCTAAAGTAAAATAAAGTAGGTAGAATTAGTTTAAAGGAAATATAAAATAACAATAAGAAAGTTAGTGGTTTGGGTTTGTAGTATCTCATTATATTAATTAATTTAATCAAAAAACGCCCTATTTCTGTGAATTATAGCAAAAAACAAAATGTAGGCTACGATAAGATGAAGCACTTCACGAAGATGTTAATTATTTGATAAAACGAGGTGTGCATCGCGGATTTTCCTTCACTTGTATGTAGTTGTAACTCACCTGAATTATTAAAATTAAATAGAATTATCTATATATATATATAAATGAATGTATGTCTGTCTGTCTGTTTGTCCTTAGTGCATTACTAAACTATTCATCCGATCGCCATGAAACTTTGGTAAGTTGTTCCGTACACTCCTGAGAAGGTTTCTGGTATAGTACTTCGGTCTTACGATAATTTTATATATGTAAAAAAATAAAAATGTAAATGTTTTCCGTTCAAAGCCGCAAAAAAAAATGTGTCGTTATAAACTGTAGCGCCTAAACGGCTTTACCGATTTTAACGAAACTTGACTAAAGTTTTCTCCTTGAAACCCTTTTAATTTATGTGTATATCATACTTTCCCGAAAACAAGCTGAAAAATGTTACGATGAATTCAATATTTTATTTGATGATAACTAAAAAAGTACAGAATTTTTGACTGATAATACCCATATTTATATGAAAGATTTCTGAATTGCTGACAAAATAAAAAAAAAAATCATCGAAATCGGACGGTTCGTTGCAGAGTTATAGAGTTTTAAACATTTACTGCTTTCTCTTCAGAAAAGGCCATTTCCTTTTGCTTCCTCACTACCGAAGGTAGGCAAGCATTTTTTTTTTTTTTTTATTGATTAATCGAAAATTTTATAATTACTACAGTAATTGAAATTATCATTTGAAGAAGTTATATGATTCTCCTTATGTAGGTCAATACTATTATACGTTCTTTATATTAATTTTTTATTTTAGTTTTATAAGTTCAACTCAGACTGTTTCTGATGATTATGAATGACGGCGTATTCACTCAGATGATTATGAATGTTCAATTTGAATCATGAGAAAAAAAATCATTAGAATTAGTTTAAATTGAAGCCATTTTACAGACAATTTGTTTCCCAACTTTTTAAAAATGACAGATGTCCTTTGCTATTAATCTACTCATATGTGCTTTCTATTTTCTTTCTTTTTCATTTTGCCAGGCTAAGCCACAGCAGCGCGTGGCCGGGTAAAGCTAGTAACATTATAAACAACAGTAGCAATATACAATAATGTTAATCTAATTATAAAATCTGTTTACCTCCAACTGTTTCAGACTTGGACAATCACGGGATAAAGGATGCATCGAGATACCACATTAACCCAGCAGACTACGCTGCTGTCTTCTTAGGAATTCACCGTTGTCCCAAGACCAAACTTTGCTGCCTGGTTAGTCAAGTCTGCTGCGAAAACAATTATGGCTGTTGTTTCACAGATCCTCCTGGAATGAGGTAAGGTATCTACAGCCTCCTGAATCTAACAAGGATAGGCTACAGTCAGTGGGTCATCCGTTTCAACCAAATTTCGTGACACTAAATAGAAAAATCTGGTGCGCGTAACACACAACTTTTACTTACTGCTCTACTTTGAATAGAAATTATTTACTGACAATGCTGGGCTATTATCAAATATTTGAAGTGCATTTTAAACGGAGCTATACCTTAAAACTTACAGATAACAAGTCATGAAGACCATTATAATTACAAAATGTCTTCTTCTTTCATACAAGTACTACGAAATAGTATTTTTAACAATTACATTGGCTTGATTGGGTGGATTTTAAATACTTTTTTCAATCTTAGAAAAACATTTAAAATTTTACATTTAGTAAGAAAATTTCATTTAATTTCCTATTTGAAACATGTGATTTACGTTAAATAATATTAGTTTAAAAAATAAATTATTTATAATTTTTTCGCAGCTATTTGTTACATTTTACAACTTTCTATATTATATATTATTTTTTCTAAAATTCTCCGCTTTCCAACGATATATTGTACGTACACCTTCTGACTAGTATTTCCGGAGATTCATTTTTGACATGTATAAGCATTTTTATTTTTTTCTCCTTTATTCGATTAACAAATTGTTTCAAAAGTTATATTTAGCATTTTTTCGTAACTCTGAATAATGTGAAATGAGCAACTTTTCAAAATAAACCATATTAAAGGTACTTTAGAGAAAGACGTATATAAACATTGGGCATTTAAGCCCTGTAAAGTGACATCAGTGAGGATAAGACCTAATTGATATTAAAGACCACTTAATAATACAATGATACACCAAGTTTAATCAAAAGTGTTAGAGCCGTTTTTGAGGAAATTGTAAAAATGGGTTTCAGCGTTCATATAAAGTGGCACTTCCGGTTAGCCGATTTCAACGAAAAAGTTGCTGTCACATCCGGCCCATATACAAATCTTAAATACTTAATATCAGTTTCGTACTGCTTTTTGTTTATGAGTTAGACTGTTAACATACACACAGACCATTTTGCGATACTTCGTTATTTGAACTCAGAGGACCTCAAAACATGTATTTCCGTTGAAAACTGAGATTCGAAAATTTTCACGATCGCAATACTTACCCTTACTATATATTACATATATACGTAAGTGAAAGTAAAAATATTGGACACCTATCGCGGCGGTCGTTCTATTAACCCCAAGGAACCGATAACAAAATATTTTATATAACTTCAAACAAATTTAAGTTATTTATTTTTATCTTTGCTTTGGCAAATTGTTATAAAAATTCGCATATATGAGTTTTACGAAGTGCTAAAAAGAATATTGAATTTGATTTTTAAATATTTACTCCCACATTGCTGCAGAGTTGTTCTTAATTTCTAATATAAAAAGGAATGACATGTGAAATAATAGTTATTCAACTTTCCAATGGTTGTCCTAATGTTGACTTCGCAAAAAATCCTAAGAAGTAATGATTACTTTCGTTACCAGCTGGAAAAAAAATCCTTTAAGAAAATCAAGTACTAATTTTTTCAATTTCTATAACAATTCCTATTTCAGGGGTTCCAAAGAAAACTAAAACCGAATCTAATTCTAAAATTTTGATCTTGATTCTGTAGTATCTAGTATCATAAAAAAAAAAATGGTTGAAATCGGTGACTCTTTGACTGTAGCATCTCATTTTAAGCGATATAATGTAACTTTATTTTATATTTTAACACAGGGCTAGTCCAGCTTTACCATGTGGAAAATTGCCCCGGCATTAGAGTTGGATATCACGTAACGAGGACGAAGCCTAAAAGCAGCTGGAATTGTGGCTAATAAATGAACTTCTGTAATTTTCTTGTTGTTTTTTTAAAATTAATTCATACACTCCAGACATATAATAATCTTAAATATATCATATCAGTTTCCTATGAGTATTCATTTTCTGTTTTGAGCTAGGCTGTTCACACACACACACACACACGCATCATTTTGCGAGACTTGGTTATTTGCACTGAGGGGTCCTCAAAACGTATATTGAAAACTCAGATTCGAAAATTTTCACAATTTCAAAGGAAAAAAAAATTCAAAACCTATGTTTTTCTATCTGATTGTATTTTCAAAAATATCAAGGAAATTCCTATTCCTACGAAGACACTAATCATAATTTCTAGTAGGGTATTTAATTGGATACAATTGGATCCCTGATTCATATTTCTTACTTATTTGCCAATTATTCTGATTCCTGGTCCCTATTCACCTTTAATGGATACATCGGTCTTTCAAAATATGATAAATTACCATTGCGGGCTTTTATTTTAGCACGCACCAGACATCCAGTCGTTCCTATAATTGTTACTGTAAGCAACTGAAGCAGGAATTATCCTACTCCAGATCCCAATCCTTTAACTCCTACCTTAACTCTCTCTCCACTCATGACAATTCCCTTTGGAATATCACCAATAAAATCTCACCATGTTTCCCATCCCCTCCGTCGAAATGATGGCTCCTGGGCGGCTTCAGATGAAGACAAAGCTGAGGAATTCACCAAACACCTCTTCTGCACATTCACTCCTCATCTGGAATCCCATCCTACCCACACTGCAATAGTAGACGAATTCCTCTCTTCACCCATCCTACTCTCCTTACCACCAAAAGCAGTTAATCCTTCTGACGTCACAAAATCATTCACAAAAACTATCTCCCCGTAAATCTCCTGGATACGACCTTCTAATCCCGCAGATGCTTCGGCAACTTCCATCCAAAGCAATCATATTCCTCAGTTAAATATACAATTGTATCCTACGAACTACCCTCTCTTATGGAAACATTATGTCATCATCATTTTTCTTAAACCAAGTAAACCTTCTAATAACACAACTTCCTATAGACCAATAAGCCTTACTTCCCATCCTTTCAAAAATCTTTGAAAAGATTCTAATGAAACGTATCCTACCGATTATAGAATTCCAAAATTCCTCTCGTAGGAAGAAGGCGTTCAAGATGCGACCCAGAAGGTTTAGAATGGAACAGGAGATGAGAACTGGTACGGGAAAGATACACCTGGTCCAGGCTTTACCAATAGCACTGTATAAGCTGTAAAGAGGATTAGCTTATGATAATGATGATGATGACTTAGGCAAAAAAATTACTTGGAAGATGCATACGAAATTGCGAAAGAAAACAGCTGTCAACATAATATAATCTCACATATTCTAGACTACAGATTCTCATTTAATCTATGAAACAAGCGACTAATCTACAACTGTATACAGAGACCAACATAAGATGCTGAACTGTGGGGTTCAGCAAAACAAACATGCATAAACAAAGTAAAAACAACATAATTTAAAATTCTTTGAAAAATTATTAACGAAAATGGTATATTTGGTATGGTATATTTCAAAGAACACAACGACTTAAACATGGCAACAGTAAAATCTTAAATATAATGGTAAGACAGGTACACAACTTTTCATTCTTCAACTTAAAATCACCTAAATTCACTCATTCTATCAATTTCCTCCTCCCGATTACCTGTTAGACGCAGATTGAAAAGAAAATGGCTCAGAGATCTGCTGCTTCATAAATAACTCAATAACGCCATGATAACCCAAGGCCTTTATCAAGAAACAAAATTTACAGAAATTTATAATTTTACATCAAATTTTCTATAATCGCTACAGAGTATTTGAAAATGTCATTAAATATTAAATTAATAGTAATGTAGGTAACTGCCTTGTAAACTGTAATTGAAACAGTTTTGTTCATATTTGGTAAAATTAAATTCCAGCATGAATATCTGGTTGGAAGTCGACCATCTTCTTTGGAACCATGGTATCAGCATGGTAGATTTCTTTTTCAGACAGAATAATGTGGTAGTCTCTCTTATATAGTCCAGTAACATTGTACATTGTAAGTTGCATTGAGTTTCTTTTTCTTTTTCTTTTCTTTATGGGATACGACTGAGATGTAAAGTCCAAGTTTTATATTCGGCGCTTCCCCCCAGATCACTTTTGAATGTCCCAAAAACTCCTATATTTTAGCACTTTTTTTTCAGTTTTCCCCATTTTATGTTATATACTCATGTAGCAGTTTTGAGAGTTTTAAAAAGTAATCCGGGGAGAAGGGGGGGAGAGAGAGCGCCAAAGTCAAAAACATAGATTTTGCATCTCAGTCACATTCCATACAAGAAAAAAAAACCTTCTAACCCCCTTTCATTGCAACTTAGACCCCCCTTTCATGACAAGGTTACTGGATAGGTTTTTAGTAGAAATCATCCACGATATTTGTAGCAGTCCAGTGACGCACTTCCTTTCTATATCGAGTATCTAATGGGTGTCTTCTATTCTACAGGCAGTGTTACTACCTTCCATATTTTAATCAATAAGGCATGATGTAGCTTAACTAATTCACCGTCACCATCTTTTATGAGCTACGCAAAAATTCCATGGAAACCATGTGCTTTATGATTTTTCTTTAATTCATCAATTCCTGCTTGTACTCTATACCCTGTGCTTAATATACTTTGCGTTAATATAATATGCTTAATGCTTGTAATCTGTGCTTAAAAAAAATATTATAAACCATTATAAAAAAAAACGGATTAACGTGTTCTAAATTAAGCTTTAAGAATTAATGGTAATCTTATTTATCTTAACAAGATTGATAGATCCTAAATAAATACGACACTGAGTATAAAAAATATATCTGATCCAGGAGTTTGAGGTTATCTTATCATAAATATTTCGATAATCCCAAAGATTTGAATAACTGATAAAAGAATACATAATGTTTTTTCACGTGACTAGTTAATTTATTTATTAAGTATTTACAAGTAACTTTCTATTGGTCAAAATCACATGATCACTCTATACATGCAATTCTGAGACCATCACTTATTGAGAATGTGGTATAACTTCCCTCTGATCGCGATTTACGAATTTCTAATTGGTTCTTTACTGATAAAATAGGCCTTAATTATACTTCTGTTTTCAGCTTGCTACGGTCGCTCGAAATGGATAAATAATTAGGGAAGTTATGTATTCATGCGATATATAAAAAGAAGATACGGTGTGCGGTTTATACCAACTGATAAAAGTGAAAACATCAACAAGGCGTGATTAATAATTGAAATATAATTTTTATTTCTGTATTCACAAATTAATATCATTTACTATTCATATTATCTTAGTTGTGTATAAACTACTTTTTGTTCTATATTCAATTATCATTGTGTATGAATTAGTGTAGTAAACTTTGATTTATCGTTAACTTACTAATCATTGGCCCAGTCAAATTAGCACAAAAAAAAGGAGCCTGCCTTACAAAAGGTCGGGTAATTCAAATTTATTTTTTATATTTTTTATAAATTTAGTGAATTTGAAAAATCCAAGTCTTCGCCCTTATAATACTAACAGAAAAACGATGGGCAAGAGCAAAGTGGCTTAAAACCAAATATCCATCGGATAAAATTCTTTACAATAGATTGACAAACAAACTTAAAATAGAAAAACAAAATGTCCTACTAGTCCGTTCCTACCTCACAGATAGAACTTTCAAAATAAATTGTAACTCTGCTTATTCATCTCGCTGCCCAGTCAGCTGGTGTTCTTCAAGGAAGCATCTTAGGTCTTATCCTTCACACAGTATATACAGCTGATATCCCAACCCATCCTTCAAACATCCTCATCTATGCTGATGACACTGTGTGTTATCTGATGACATGTGTGTTATCTGTAAATAATGAACCAACTGTTTCATCCCAATGCCTGCAGTCACACATTTCAACCATTGAAAAATGGTGTCCAAATTGGAGAATCAAAATTAATCCTAACAAATTACTTTTGCTCTTCGCTGTAAACCTTCACCTACCGTATTCTTTAACAATATTCCACTGTTCCCTGTCGAACAGATACGTTACCAAGGATTCCTTGACGAACGCCTTACTTGGAATCCTCATACTACATTTAAAACACAAGAAACAGCCAATAGTTTCCAATTACTACAACGTTTACTTGACAAAGGTTCTAAACATCCAATATTATACAAAAAAACTCATATATACTATTGTCTTTAGGCCCATTTGGACATCTAGAATTGAGGTTTGGGGCTCTACAAAAACATTTACAATCCAAAATCCTTCGTAAAATTCTAAATGCTCTCGATTATGTCACAAATAAAATTATTCATGAAGACCTCAACATTCCTCTTGTTGAAGACTTGGCCCGAACTACATATTCCTCCTTTAATTCCTAACTCTTTTGTCACCCCAACCTTCTAATTTATAATCTTTTATCCAATACAATTCCTGACAACTTCTGAGGCGTCTGAAGAAGATCACCAAGGGACCTGCTAAATTAATCTAATTTTTGATGTCTTACCAGCTTCTTCACAAGTTCTTATAATGTTATATATTCCTCTAGCATTGCCTTAAAAGTTGTTGTTTTCTTGCAGGATCCTTATATTAACCTCTAACTACTTATTAGAGAACAATCGGGATAAAACTGGAATAGAGATAAAGCAGGGATAGGGATACAATGTGGAAAGGGATCTGAATAAAACATACATAGGGATCTAGGTGGGGATAGAACCGGGATATGCACCGGAATAAAACAGAGATAAGTACCGGTATAAAATAAGGATAAGGATAAAAGGAATAACATTAAAGTTGCTATGGTTTGAGGGTAAACATTATTCGAGATGCCACTGGATAATTATTGATGATAATTATCCAGAAATATTTAATAAAATAAATTAGTTAAAGAAATTTGGATCTATAATATATTAATCGGTCCAGGATTAATGAACTGAATTTCTTTTCTCAAAGGCTGGTTCGTGTTTATCATTCTTACTAAACTAGTTACCAAAGTTACCTGTGATCATCATATATAAGTGTTCTATGCGTAAACAATAATTTTCAGTTTTAATTAGTTAAAAAGTAATTTTTAAGATTCAGCATTCGGCTAATATTAAAAATAAATTAAAAGGTTATCAATTTCAAGCTCGACCAATGCCAACCTTTATACATAAAACGATTCATTCATTTCAAGACTTGTCATCAAACGAATTGAATCCGTTTTAAAACGAATAAGACTGTTATAAAACTAATAAATACTACACCATGAATCGTTGCGTTGTTCTATGAACTATTACTTTCCTACCTATACTAGGTAAGGCAAGTATTGCAATCGGGTCAAATTTTCGACATGCGGTTTTCGACGGATCTATACCTTTCACAGCCCCCTGAGTCCGAAAAACACATATTTAGCCATTGGTCTGTCTGTCAGTCTGTCTGTCTGTCTGTCTGTGCCAAGATTTTCTCGGGAACTACTGAACCGATTTTGTCGCTTGTTTTTTTATTTTGTAGGATTTTCACTACTGATGCCTGTGACAGAAATTCGTTGCTCCATGCGCAATAGCTTGCACGCAATAAATAAAAAACATATTTTTCTATAGACTGTAGCGCAAAAATGGCTCCAACGATTTTGATGAAACTTTTCTATGATGTTCTAATCATCGTCCTTTCAATTTTCGTATATAGAATAAATTCCCGAAAAAATTCAGAAAAAAAAGTTATAAAGAAAAGAAAAATGCTATGGGGCCTAACTCCCTAAGTATATATTATACGATGAAATTTATAATAAAACTTTTGAAAGGTAATTAAATTACCAACAAAAAAAAAAAAAAAAAAAATCGAAATCGAACCAGTATTAGCGGCGATACAGCTTATTCTATTTTTCACACATTTGTTGAACTTATTTTATTACTTTCCTACCTATACTAGGTAAGGAAAGTATTGCAATCGGGTCAAATTTCCGACATGCGGTTTTCGACGGATCTATACGTTTCACAGCCCCCTGAATATGTCGTTTGAAAGGTAATGAAATTCCCTACAAAGCGATATAAAAATCGTTTATTTTGGACAACTATTAACGAAGTTACAGCTATTCAATTTCCAATGTAAGATTACGGTTTCATATCCTGGTGTCAGAAAGGGGTGAATTAGAGAATAAAGATGACTAAGTGAAAGTAAGAAAATCTGTTGCCCGCATCACACAATCTTCACTATTTTCTCTACTTTTAACAGAAATTATTGTTTGACAATACTAAGCTATGGCAAAAAGTTTTTGATCAGCAATATTAGTGAGTATTGAAATTTTTACACTGATCTACCTTAAGTCGGTTTCATTGTTTTAGTTTATTAAATCAATCCTACTCAAATCTTTTGTTTGATCAATTTTCAGGAAAATAAATTTAGTTCAATTCTTTTTTGTTTGTTCATGAATATATGTAAAGATATAAACAAATTTCTGAAATAGGCAGGAAAGTAGTGTGAGTGGACACATCAGATTTTTTTTTTCCAACATTTCTCAAGAACTGTTGTTTTTTGTCAACGAACAGTTCATTTAAGTTTTTCAAAAGTTGCAGAAACGCCCACCTCTAATTGTAACTGCAGTAGTACAGTGACCTCCTCAAAGTCCTATACGAACGGGAAAAAAGAAATTACTGTTTTCGCAAAGAAAATTGTATCTACATTACGAGCTGTATTCAGAATTTAAATATGTTAAACAGTTTTGAAATTCTTTCTTATTCAATAAAAAATCATGACCAACCTAAAAATACAAAATTGGTCTTAAGTTATTTCCCGGAATGGGCCCCTGCATCAAATGAACTTTTTTTTTGGAAATGTTGTATAGAATTATAATCCAGAGTTTGGCTAATAACAATGGAGGCATCCTGTATAAAACCTGCAAGTGAAATTATAACTTAGATCCGTTACTGAAAAAAGATATATATAAGTCAAAATTTAGGAAGATGAAACCGCGGTGAGGATAGCTATTAAATTAAAGCAGGTTAGTTTTAATAAATTAATAATATTAAATTAACATGATAAGTTTTACTTATTTAAAAATAACACAACATTATGTATATCACATAAAAATTATAAAACAAACAGAAATATAAAATTAAGATTTGAAAATCGTTACCGTCATACAATAATTATATCTATTCGCATTTACATAACAGAAAGCTCATGATCTTAGTTTCATATTGTTTTTATATTAAAGTATAAATAAAATTATTTATTATTTAACCTAATTTTATATATTTCATTAACTGTGTTTATGGGTGTATAGTACTCGTATGTATGTATCCTTGAATTTCTATTGCTGTTTTAAATTTTATTTTTCCTTAGAAACTTGATCGACATCTCTCAATGATGAATCCATCTTCATTCCAAACAGGGTTCAGAATCATTACATTCTTTGCTGCAAATATTAAAACAGAAAAATTAACTATTTTCCTATTTTAATTAATTACATTTAATTAAATTTAAATACCTTATCTTATGACAACATTTTGTCCCGTTATCAGCGCATTCCTGATTCAGTTGGCAGCAACGATTACCTTTAAAACAATTAACCTCCCATATGCTGAGTTTAGCTAAAAAAGTATACATATATTTAACTGTAATATTATAATAGATATAATTTCTTGGTCACTAATGACTAATCAATTTTTTTTTTTTTTTTATTTCTTTATGACATTTACAACTGTATTACATAAATACATCAAATAAATTTGGACATAATTGATATAATGACATGAATACACTTGCTGAGTAACTACCCAATGGTAGCACTCTAATGATATGACTACATTAGGAGATCACGGGGCCATCTTCTTTTCAGACGCCTCGGAGGGTTATCAGGAATTGAAGAGGAAGCAAGGCTAGAAACGAGAGGGTTGGGATGATTCTGAACTTTATTATGGAAGGATAGGTATCTGGATTGGGCCAGATCTGAAACATAAGGAACATTAAGATTTTTATGGATAATTTTATTAGTGACAAAGTAAGGAGCATTGAGGATTTTACGAAGGATTTTGGATTGTAAGGATTGGATGCGAGAGGAACTAATCAATTTAACTTAACAAAAACGAGTTTTTACATTAATAGAGTAATCTAGATATACACAAAAAAAGTAAGGTGTTGATGAAGAAAGCGAGTAATTTTGGGAGAGAAAATATGTGGGATTCAAGAGACAATATATATATATATATAATATATATATATATATATATATATATAATATATTCTCAAATATCAAATAATAATATATCAAAAATAAAAATACCTCGGCCTGAGTATAACCTCAATGAATGACTAACGGTCGGAAATATACCAGGGTATATACTCTATTCGCTCTTTTAGAAGTGTTGAAATAAGAAAAATATCAAAATTAAGGATGTACGAAGCTATGATAGAGTTGATAGTTCTAATATACGGCTTCAAGTCCTAGACACTAACCAGTATCCTACAAAGAAGTACTGAATGATTTGAGAGAAAAATGTTGCGCACGTTAACCGGAGCGATCTGGGATCAGAGTGCTAACAAATGGAGTAGAAAGAACAATAAAGAGATTTTTACTGAAACTTGGTAAAATATCTCATGATATGAGGCAAGGAGGTTAGGATGGGCGGGGGTCTGTTGCTCGAAAAACGCTTCAGGAATCCTCTAAATAACAATGAATAACTCCAAAAACATATCGAATCAACAAAGATGCAAAAGAGCTGTAACTCGATATCTGGAAAGAAATATCCCAAGATAACCAGATAAGATGGACAATACTGGTTAAAACGGAAAAAGACCTACAAGATCTGTTATGCCGTCAGGTAAAAATTTATACAGTGGTGTGAAAAATTCTTCGAATAAACCAACTTTTAATGAAAAAATAAATTATAAATCTTTCAATTTAAAAGTGACTTCATCGTCTTAATTGTAAACTGATTTAATCTTACATGTATTCGACATGTAATGTCAAAATATATATTTGAATTATCATTATATTAAATTGACAAGCCAAGCGTCCAATCCGTTGTGTTGTCGTATTTCCATCCTCTGATTAATGTTACCTTATTGCTCATATCTTTTAGAGAAATAAACTTCATTTTTTTTCAATAACAATACAAATACAAAAGAAAATACATATCTGGATAAAAACTCAGTTAATACTGATTCTAACAATATATGCAGTAATTTAAATAATAGTAAGTACATAACAAAAAAAAAATAAATAAATAAAATATCAAAAATACAAATAGTTTTAATGGAAGAAACGGAATTGAATGGAAAGAAATTATAGTTGAAATGGAAAAAAAAAAATCTAATATATAAATATATGTGCTTAGAAAGAAAGATTAAAACCTGAAGAGAAAAGAAAATTAAATAAATAGTAAAATAATAACCAAACTAGATGAAGAAAAATCATTTTTTATGCTGAAAGTTCAAAAGTAGGCTCCACGATTTCCTTCTAATAAAATTCAATTCATAAAATGAACTTTTGTGATAGGAGATCGTCTGATTAGGATATAAGGACGTATTTGAAATATGACAAGGAAGAGGCATGTTATGTGTAAACGTATGTTATGTGGCAAAGAATGATAAAAGGTAACAGACAGGGCGGGCTAAGAAGGAACGTTCATAGGTTTTTGTCCTGTGGAATGGAATATAGAGGTCAGAAACACGGGATCTCGTTTTTATTGAGTGGACTAAGGTTTAGGCTGGAGGAGACAACAGATATAGGAAGGGTGCTGGGGGTTGATCGTTTGGTATAAGAAATTTTCAAGGAAGTATAGGCGGCGGGAAGAGGGGAAGAGCCACTTTGATTCGGCATATAGGTGGGACACATGAGACCATCTCGAAGTGCCGAAGACGAATCTTTAAAACAGACATATATAAGGATGCAGTGGAACCGTTTTTCATCTAGTTTTCCGTCCATTCACAAGAGGTCTCCAACTTCAGAAAAAGAATCACACCCACGAACCATTACGAAGCCACCTCCGTATTTTGCTGTTTGTTGCAAACATTTATCCGAAAATTCCACTCCAAATCTTTTCTATTGGATTGTCCCGAAAATAAGGCAGGATTTTGATTTAAAAAGAAAAAAGAAAGAGTCACAACTGTTTTATTTAATCAAAATAATCTTCACTACTACTAATACATTTCTGCCAATGTGCTGGCAACTTTTTCATTTCCTCGAAATAGAATTTCCCATCTTTAGAATTAATAAATTTCAAAAACGCATTTTCTAATTCCCTTTGTCCATTAAATTTTTTGTCATGTAATTAGTGGTCCAGGTGTCTACAAAAATTATAATCCGTAGGCGGGATTTCCGGAGAGCAGAGCAGATGTGGCAAAGCTTCATATCCAAGCTCCAACAATGTTTGTGACGACACACGATTGATCAAAGATGGTTTCGGATGCATTGCATTAATTTGGTTACAATACGATAGGGCATTGATGGTTTTTCCAGGATTTAAGAGTGTAATGTATTAAACCAAATGGATCCCGCCAAAGAGTAACCATCACCTTTTTTTTGATGATTTGGGGGTTTTGGGAAATGTACTGCTGCATCTCCTTTGTCGAAACACTGTTCAGATCCACTGTTTACTCTAGCATAGACATCTACTGTTATCGTAAAGTATCCACTTTTCATCACAAGTAACAATTCTGTATAGAAAAGGGTCGTTTTTATTTCGGCAAAGGAGAGTAGCACAAATTTCATAACGCTGTTTTGGTTTATTATTTTCAATAATGAAACATTGTGATCGACCAAAAAATTCAAAAACATAACCCCCTCTCAAAATTTGAGGTTTCACGTTTCAAGACGCGTAGAATTCGAAAAACGAATAAAAATTTATTTGTCCGTCCGCCGTCCACCGTCCGCGCATTTTCTTCGAAACTACTGGACCGATTTGTTTCAAATTTTGATATAATATCAGCGGTCACCCGAGGATGATCCTCCTTCATCGACATTACTCTCCGCATTTAACATTCAAAATGGCGGCCGAAAAACCTACGTTGCTATAGATTGTAGCTCCTAAACGAATGTACAGATTTCAATGAAACTTCGCTAAAGTCATTTTCTCGAAGCCCTTTCAATTTATCTATATAACATACTTCAACGAAAAGAAGCTGGAAAAAAAGTTATGAGGGATGGTAAAATTAAATTCCGAATAACTCAAAAAGTATACACTTTTTTTGTCGATGTTGTATTTTTTTAAAAGTTTATGGAATTTCCTAAAAAAACAAAAAAAAAAAAGCTTTAAAATCGGACAATTAGGAGGAAAGATATGGTCTCTAGTTTTTTCCCCTGAAGAGGCGAAAATTTGTATAAATTTAAAATATACTTTTTTAATTTTTGAGGCTAAAAAAACTTTTTTTCAACAGATATTTAATAAAATATCTTACCTCAGAACGTTTTTCATAAGAAATAAGTATCTAAATTTATACCTTTATTCTCAGTTCTATATTTCAACACAACAATCACCACCTCCGGAATCAACTTACTCACTGTCTGCATAGATAACTTTTTCAACTAAAAATATTACTAAATTGGCATTACTCAAAAATGTAGAAATTGGAGTTAGTCATTCTGTGGTTTATAAAAGCAAAGAAAGTTATGTGGTTTATTAAAGCAGATGGAGTGACTAGATTTGTATTACCTACCGTCGATATATTAAATAGACATTTTCTAATTATAATGGTCTTAATGACTTGTTATCTGTAAGCTTTAAGCTTTAGCTCCGTTTTAAATGCACTTAAAATTTTATAATAGCTCAGCATTGCCAGAAAAAAATTTCTATTTAAAGTAGAGCGGTAAGTGAAAGTTGTGTGTTGCGCGCACCAGATTTTTATTTTGGAGGTCGTTTAATGTGTGTTGAATCAAACTTTCGTGTTTTTTTTTACTTTCCCAATCGCTTTGAGGTGAACATTGACTGTCGATTTGCTAAGGTTAAGTTTCTCCAACAGTTGTTTTGGGGTTTTCTTGTGGGTTGTATTCTGGGCCCCATTCTTCAGAGTTTGAACCCGTAAAACAAAATTATACGAAAATCACGTCTTAGCATCTTAGTAAAGACTGGACCATTTCTAAGCAGAGAAGTGCTACAGAGGTAAAAATGCATTATCGTTTGGAATAGTATTAATAAGTGTTTATATTCATGTAAATGAATAATCCAGCAAACGTAAACATGTTTGTTATACAGAGAGTGTGAATTATATAACTATTATACATGTCCTTAATTGTGACAGATTGTAATAATTCTGAATAAATAAGTTAGTTAGTTTATATAGAGAAGCATTTTAAATAAAATTCAAAATTCTGCATATTTTTCAGGACAACCCAATAACTTACTGCCTTCTTCTGAAACCAAACATTTCACATCTCTACTCATCTCAAATAAAAATTTGTTATGACAAGGAGTTGATCGGGGGGCTGCGGTCAAATTAATACTAAATTAAATAAGTGGCATTATTTAATTTTTGCCGACGTTTATCTACTTATATTCATTTATTTTCACCACGTTTTGTATCTTTTGTAGCCCTGATGAAGACTTACAAAGTGGGTCGAAACGCCCATCCTAACCTCTCTCGACCTTCTAACCTTTACTTGCCTTCTCACAGATCTGCTTCATTCCAAAATTCATTTATTGTTCGCTCTGTCAATTTCTGGAATTCCCTCCCTATCAAAATTCGACATTCCCCATCCATATCCACATTCAAAACCCTGCTATTCCAATTTCTATCCCAAAAACAGTCAGATAGTTGCTAACCATTGTTGCTTCTCATATCATATCAACGGTCAACCACCTCTACATCAAAAATTTGTTATCCTCATCTCTCATCCAATTTTCGTGTTCTTTGGCCAAGTTTCACAAGTTTCCTATTAATATTGCTTTCTCACTACCGAAGGTAGGGCAGCATTGTGTTCGTGCGAGAGGTTTAACAATTTTTTTTTGCTCAGAATCGAAAATTTTCACTCGCGTTTTACGTTTCAGACATCAAGGATCAAATTTGTTTCGGTGTCTGTCTGTCTGTAGTCAAATCGATGTGACGGGCACATCACCTAGTACCGTTCATCCAATCTTCATGAAATTTTCAGGGATTATGCTGATTGGTGCCTAGATGGTCCCATATAATTTTTATCAAATTCCATCCAGCTTTTTCACTCACGCACGCGCAAACGTATATTTTTAGATATGCCAATATTTCAGAAAGGGCTCGTTCGATTTGGCTCAAAGTTAGATAAAAGGTAGACTTTTGTTAAAAAATAACGTAGTGTCAATTCTATTGAATTATGTCCACCACTTTCTCTTAAATATGCACTATTAGTTCGCTGTCCGCCGTCCGCGCATTTTTTCCGGAACTATCGGACCGATTTTCTTCGAATTTGGACATAAAATCAGAGGTCACCAGAGGATGATCTTCCTTCAACGAGATTACTATTCGCCTTCTTGTTTCAAAATGGCGGCCGAAAAACCTGCGTTGCTATAGACTGTAGCGCCTAAACGTATGTACCGATTTTAATGAAACTTCGCCAAAGTCATTTTCTCTACGCCCTTTAAATTTATCTATATAACATACTTCAACGAAATTAGGAGCAAAGATATGGTCTCTAGTTTTTTTTAGATGTGCTATTACAAAAGGTTTATCTTTTGTTTTGATTTTTGAATGTGTTACTGAAGTAATGCTATTTTTTAGCATATTACTAATGATTAAAAAAAAGTTTAGTCCAATAATTGGAATCACCTTTTATTTATTTTTATTTATAACTAGGAATTTAATTTTCTTTAGGAATTTAAGTTACTTTATATGTATAATTGTTTGGAAATAATATACCATAGGGAAATAATTTGCCGTGGATTTTTTTTCAACTTAATTATCGATATATATATATATATATAAATATATATATATATATATATATACATATATATATATAAATCTTTCGGGCTGAAGCCCCTCCCCCAAAATTAAATCTGCATCACTATTATTAAAGCAAAAGTTCGTATGTAAAAATTTTATTATAAGTAGTCTGCTACTATGGAAAATAGCAGATGACAATAAAATATGAAATTATTCTAATAAAGCATAAAGAAATAATGAGTTTTTATGCACTCTTGTTAAACAATAAATAAATTTGTACGTAAGACCTTTTGCACTAACAGTATTGAAATTCATGTTCAGTATACATTTTTTTTTTGTTTTTTTTATTAAGCATAATCAAGTATGGAATCTTCAAATACGACACTCTTTTGTTGAATGTTGAAGGGAAACTCTAATTGCCTATTCCGATTCTGCTTCTTTCAGAGATTTTATTCTCATACGAAAAATTGTATACCTTGTAATATACAACGGAAACGGTGAGGAAGCTATACTGACCTTACTTGGCAGACGTTTTTTCATGCCTACACAACAGGATATAAACACAAGAGAACACACACAAAAAAAAAATCAAAAAAATCAGGATTCCTAAAACATAAACTAAATGACATATAGACAATTAATTATTCAATTATTACTTAATTTCCACTGTTTTTTATTACAGTAATTTGTACATTTAGTTGTAAATATAGTGTGAATGTCATCCTACCTCACTATGACCAATGTCCAAGAGGCGGATTGTTATAATACTCAATAAAGAAATAAAAAAAAAAAATTACAGTAATGAAAAGTTCTGCTTCTCTGCGTACTCCATTATTATACCACAACCAAGTAATAATTTTCTAGTAATGTGTATAAAACTTGTTATTGAATTTTCTTTTTACCTATCGTTCCTGCTCCAACCTCAGATCCCACGTTGCTCTTTCCGATGGCAGACGAATAGACTGAGCTAAGAAGCCCAAAACCCAACAGAACACAGGCCATCAACATCTTAAGACTGATTCATCCCTGGTTAGTTTCTGCATTTATAACAATATCTTGAGCTATTAGAGAGATTTAATCATGCCGCTACATGATGATAATGATTAAATAATCCGAGTTGTTTTAACACTTAAGTATATTGACGCAATCACGTCCGAAATAGTTTAATTTATTTGTCGGTATCCAAGGAAACTATTCTTTGAAATTATACTTACTAAAAATAAAACTTTCCATATATTTTTTTTCTTGCATGGTAACCTTTTGCAAGAAGATTTCATTTTCTAAGTTTTATACAGACAATGCTAAACCGAATATAAAATGTGTAAATATTTAGTTAACATTTTAGTTAAGCTTTTACTTTTTTTTATACAAAAATTAAAAAAAAAAAAATAATAAGAATGTAACTTAAATTAAAAAAGATTAAAATTTTTTGCAAAGACTAAAACTACTTCAAAAGATTTAAGGTATTGCGTGAGTATAAAATTTTAAAGAAAATTGTATGAATAAGCACAGTAAAATAAAATATATTAAAAAGTGGATAAATTAACGTACAAACAAAAAAATGTAATTACCTAAAATTTTGAAGAAACTATGTACAAATATGAATTTAACTAAACGAAAATCTTTGGGAGTACATTAAAATGTAATCAGGATTTAAAACAATTTGAATAACATTGCAAATTAGAATAAATCATTTTTTTCTTACTTTCTGTCACATAGACAATAACTATGGTGAGGTGAGACTACATTCACACTTATGTACAGAAAATATAAAATAAACAGTAGAAAAAAAAGAATTAAATAATGATCAAAAAGTATATACAATAAATAAAAATAAAATAACTTAAAGATAAGTAAATTAAAAAAACAACATACCTATAGTATTAACACACACATACACACACACACACACACACACATATATATATATATATATATATATATATATATATATATATATATATTATTACTTTTATTTATATTTATTCAAAGCAATAATATTTTAATTTTAGACATAATATCTTAATGTTAAGTGTTTATCTGTATATACAGGGTGTCCTGTAGGTAGAGGGAAATAGTTAAAAGTTTGATAGTAGACATCAACATCCACAAGAAAGTTTATATAAACAATCGTACAATTTCCGGCAGAAAAGTAGGAAATTTAATATTTATGTTTTTTTAATAATCACGTTTTTTGTTGAATAAAAAGTTATAACTTAAAAACGTCTGCCAAGTAAGGCCAGTATAGCTTCCTTACCGTTTCTGTTGTATATTACAAGGTATACAATTTTTCGTATGAGATTAAAATTTCTGAGAGAAGCAGAACGGAATAACCGATTACAGTTACCCTTCAACATTCAACAAAAGAGTGTCGTATTTGAAAATTCTACTGTTAGTGCAAAAGATCTTATGTAAAAATGTATTTATTGTTTTACAAAAGTGCATAAAAACTCATTATTTCATTATGCTTTATTAGAATAATTTCATATTTTATTGTCATTTTTCATTTTCATAGTAGCAGACTACTTACATCAGTTGCAGACTACAAAATGTCACCATTAATACACATAGAATTAAAGTTGAAAATTTTTACATTCGAACTTTTGTTCTAATAATAGTGATATACACTACCGGATCCAGATTTAATTTTGGGGGAGAGGCTTCAGCCCTAAAGATTTTTTTTTTCTTATATATATATAACGTTAAATAATTTGAAGAAAAACGCTGTAAATTATTTCACAATGCTATATTATTTCCAAGCAAGTATACATATAAAGTAACATTATCTTCCTAGTTATAAATAAAAGGTGATTCCAATTATTGGACTAAACTTTTTTTTAATCATTAGCAATATGCTAAAAAATAGCATTACTTCAGTAACAGATTCAAAACTTAAATCAAAAGCTATATATATAACCTTTGCAATAGCACATCTAACAAAAAAAAAAACTAGAGACCATATCTTTGATCCTAATTCTCCGATTTTAACGATTTTTTTTTTGTTTTTTAGGAAATTCCGTAAACTTTTAAAAAAACATATACGTAAACCATAACCATATATAAGATTGGATGAACGGTACTAGGTGATATGCCCGTCACATCGATTTGACTACAGACAGACACCGAACCAAATTTGGTTCTTGATGTCTTAAACGTAAAACCAAAGTGGAAATTTTCGATTATGAGCAAAACAATTTTTTTAATCTCTCGCAAGAACACAATGCTTCCCTACCTTCGGTAGTGACCAAACAAAATATTTTATTGAAGTACTTAAAAATTGTTCCATAGTAAACTAGAAAAAAATTATTTTAAATGAACGTATATTTTGTCATTGTTAAAACTATTTAAACAGGACTATTGAGCGGCCAGGCACACTAAGTTCCGTTGAAGGAAGTTATGTTGACCGTTCAACATATCATAGTTAATAAATAGTCATTTTTAAGGTTTTGCATCCTCATTACCGAAGGTAGGGAAGCATTGTGTTCGTGTGACAGGTTAAAACAAATTGTGTGCTCAGAATCGAAAATTCTCACTCGCGTTTTACGTTTCAGACATCAAGGATCAAATTTGGTTCGGTGTCTGTCTGTCTGTCTATCTGTAGTCAAATCGATGTGACAGGCATATCACCAAATACCTTTCATCCGATTTTCATAAAATTTTAGGGTATTGTGAGGATTAGTGCCCAGATGGTCCCATATCAATTTTATCAAAATCCATCCAGCAGTTCCACTTAGGCACGCGCAAACGTTCGTTTTTAGATATGCCAATATTTCAGAAAGGGCTTGTTCGATTTGGCTCAAAGTTAGATAAAAGGTAGGTAATGGTGAAAAAATAACGTAATGACAACTTTATTGAATTCTGTCCACTAATTTCTCTTATATATGCACAAACGTGTTCCTTGATACGTCGATATCTCTAAAACCGAATGTTCGATTTGGCTCAAATTTGGAGGGAAGTTATGGTTCGGTAAACAGATAATCAAGTAGGTATGAATTTTATCTAATTCTATCCAATACTCCTAAAAAAATACTTTTGTTTTCGGATCAGTAAACGCATTATTTGAAAACTGCGTGTTCAATTTGACCCAAACATGGAGGAATTTTGGAAAATAGTATAGAAATTACTTAGTATGAATTTCATTGAATTCTATCTAATAATCCGTACATATATTATTACAGTAAGGCTCGAAATCGGTTTTGTACCAAATATAAGCTCCTGTCATGCTCAAATACCACGAATGGGGTACCGTTGGATTCAGAATTTCACGGGGAGTTAGCGAATCGTATTCTCCACTTTTGTTTTTCTTTCTAAAATAAATAAAGTCGATACAAACATTTTGCTAGGCTTCGATACTGGAACGGTGGTAGGTCTGTAGATCGATACGGGACAAATTGGATCTTAAAGATTTTGGTGCGTACAGGGAACACCCGAATAGTTCCCTCGGAACTATTGGATTCTGCGTTTTTAAGCCGAAAAACGTACTATTTTCGAGATAAAGCAAGGCATAGGGTTCGCATCCACACAACCTTACATTAATTGTAGTACTGTCATTGAATACATGTCTCATTTCGTCAACTTGAGGTCTCTATGATCGAGAGAGGGGGAGTTTATATTATTCATTGATGGTGTTTTTGATCGGCAAGCCATATCATCGTTAATTTTTCACCAAATCCCGAGATTGAGCCACCAATTTCGAAGGCTTCCTTCTCATTCAGGCTGGCAAAATAGTCCAATCACCCAGAAAATTCAGGCAAACAAGTTATGAAAGAAAATAAACTTTATTTGCGAATAACTGAAAAATTACACACTTTTCCCTCGGTTATTCCCATTATTATATAAAAGATTACTAAATTCCCTACAAAAGGGAAAAAAAAATCATCGCAATCGGACAATTTTTAGCAAATATACAGCTTACTGAAATTTGTATACATGTTGGTTCCAAACAAAAATGAAGATTTAAATTAGTTTTTGTTTGTTTTGTAGATTATATTTATCGATAAAGTAACATTTGATGTCTTAATCTTTTGATAAGTTGCATTTTCTTATTAATTTGGCATTGGATAACAATATGCTGTGCGAATTTTTCGCGCGGACCTACTAGTTAAAATTAATATAAATAATTGTTAACAATATAATGGTAGTGAAATGTGAAAGGCACTGATCATATGTAGTGGGAGTTAGGTTATGACAATATTCTTATTGGGTTATAAAATTTTAGGTTTTATTCAAAGTGTTAATTTATACTTTATTGTTTCGTCGATTCCCAACGTTATTGGCACATGATATTTACTGCCGTTAATTAGATTTCGTGTAATTTTCAATAAATTTAAATTAATTTCTACTAATAATCTTATTTGTGGTTGTGTTTATTTTTTTTGGAGTTCAACTAACTGCTGGTGATATCGAGTTAATGTGTGATTTTTACATATATTTTTAAATTCCAGCTTAAATAGTTTTGTTCTGACTGAAGAAAAGTATTGGTCTCGTTAACTAAATTTTAGTTTTTCTTATGGATGTTTTGTACCACCCATTTTTGGAGTGAAAACATGCTGATTAAGTTCATATTAATACTGTTAGTGCAAAAGGTCGTATATAAACATTTTGAACTTTTAATTCTATTTGTGTTAAAGATGACGTTTAGTATTCTGCAACTGATATAAGCATATAAGGGCAATAAATTATGAAATTATACTAATAAATCATAAAGAAACAATTAGTTTTTGTTCTTTCCTGTAAAACACTCAATGTTTACGTACGTACGACCTTTTACACTAACAGTAGTGATATTCATGTTCAGTACGCACTGGATTTTTTTAATTCCCGAATCAACAAATATACGATCTACTTCTGCGGATCATTTTCGCATTTTACTATTTGGTAATAAACAAAACTCGTGGATATCAAACCTGTATGTGTTGAGGGATTATTGAATTTCCGAAAATGGCTTCTTCCAGAGATTTTATACTCACGCGAAAAATTTTAGACTTTGTAATATAAATATTTTTCAGCTAATGCAAACGGTGAGGAAGCTATATTCACCTTACTTGGCAGACGTTTTTATTGGTGCCGAAGTTTCAAACAAAGCATGTGGGTGAGTAATCAGGGCGTGTTTCGAGGAGTACGGAAGGTGTTACCTTCTTGAGT